TTATTTATGATTGAATATGAGACAGTTTTAAACTCGTTGCATGGTTTTTTCACATTTTCGTACATCTCAGTTCATTTGTGACTTCCAACCAAGCAATCTAAAATATCTTTAGAACTCCACAGGAACAGCCAGCTCTCCTAGAAGTACACAGTTATCCTGACACGACATCACATTATAGATAAGATAATTTGACAGAAAAAAACAGTTTTCTTTAGAGGTTAATTTTTTTTTTTCTGAAAATGATTACCGAATTTAGTAAAATGATCAAAGTGATATAGCTTTTTCTAAATGTAAACAAAACTTTAAACTAATAATTAAAAGAACTAATTATACTTTTTTTTTTCTAGAAAGTATTGAAAATTATACTTAATATTTAACTAATATTTCTGTCACTCATTCCACTGACTTGGAAGTTAATGATGCATATCATCCTGATTTCATACATAAATTAAAAATTAAATCCCAAACTTTCATTGAAGAATTTAAATATCAACTACTTATAGTAACTACTAACATACTATTTCCGTTCCTTTTCGATCGTTAGTTTTTTAGTAAAAAAATCTCTTCTTTTATGTTATTTTTGAAATTTTAGGATAACATTTTTTTCAACTATATTCCTAATAAAATTAATATATAAAGAGAATAATAGTTATAATAACTCAAGAAAAATATAGTAACACAGACATATACTTTGAAATAAGAAAATTGAAAGAAGCACAATAAGTAATTCACTTAAGATGAGGCAGAATACACCATATGTAGCTCCGGAACAATGAAAAAGAAAACATTTCCGTAAATTACATTCCAGGATATTTTTCTCCATAGCATCAAACTTTAATTTTAAAAGTTAATTTGATTTTCAGGAATATGGAAACAAACACAGATACAAAGATATTTATTGAATTAGACATACAAAACTAAAGTGTATATTATATTTTATAAGAATGGTGGAAATTTAATAGGCTAATGTTTTATAAAGTTTGTAATTGCAGCACTTTAATTGCTGGTATTAGAATCCTGCAGATTCTACGTACACAGTTCAGGCAGCTGCTTCGGCTGCAGAAGAGACCTTTCTAAGAACATAAACAGGATCTCCAACTCGAATGATTTTTCCACTCCCTGTAGCAGAAGAATCCATCCAGTTCCATACTATATTCTGACCAAAGTATACCTGCATAAGCAGTAAACATGTCAATAAAACATAAGGAATACTCAATGAAAGCTTGGTGACTAAGTGCCTCACCTTGTTTTTATTTTTTGCATCTGGTCTAAGGACTTTGCCAGACCTAGTTTTCATAAGAGTCTCAGTTGGCTCAGATCCAGATATCCCAGTCTCCTGATTGATTGTGGGTACCTGACCATAATCATGCAAGTCAAACACAACCAAACTAAGAAATAGAAGGTAAATGCGACATTATCCATTCAAAATCTAAGGTTTCTGGTAAAATGAATTAAGCTCCACTTTTACACTAGAATCAACTTATGCACTTAATTAAATTCATTTTACTTTATAGAGAAAATCAACGTCTTTTTTTTTTTTATTTTCTTCTTTTAGAAAAAACATACAAAAAAAGGTTATTCAAACAAGATCTAAACTTAAGGCCTGATGAGAGATGTGGGTACAACCAATGATAAATGTAAAGCATCAGAGTAAGGGAAAAAAAAGGTGCTAGAAGGAAGCTCATTAAATTCAGGGCCAGGGAGAGGAGAGATACCATCCTTTGCTCCAATAAACCCATAACATCCTTGCATCTCATCCTAAAATTATAAAAAGATATACCCAAGTCCTGTCCTCCTTAATTAATGAACATAATAGAAACTAACCCAATTAATGATATGTATATGATCCTGGGTATTAATCAAAGGGACAAGAGGAATTACATACATATTAAAAAATTATGAAGTTCTATAAAGTCATGTCTGTTTTAGAATGATATAAAGCTGGTGATAACAGCAACTGAGCCCTAATTGAAAGTGATATTCATTCCTTGCTTCTTTATCTAATAAAAGGCACATAACACATCATCCAAGCTCTCTACATCACACAGAGGCCAATGAATGCTTATTA